TGGACACATGCGAGTGTGTGTGTGTGTGTGTGTGTGTGTGTGTGTGAGTGCATGATGTCACCCCTTTCCAGTCGGGTAGTTTAAGAGGTCATGACACGCTCCGAACCGCCACTGCAGTCAGCGAGAAGAGCGGAGAGTCTTTTAACTCGGTAATAATTGATGTTTTACTGAGAAATCATAAGACTAAGCATTAATTAGTGTCGCTGAATGACTAGTGTAAGAGGTGCATCTTCATTTGTGTGTTATGTTCCTTTAAAAACCGTTAATGTGAAGTATTTTTATTTAGGCAGCAACATTTCCCTCTCTGGACCTGACTGTGAAAGTGTAGATGCAGCCATAACAGCAGCACTCCTTCAGCGGTCCCACTGAGGTGCTCTTGAGCAAAGCACTGAACCTCTAATTGCTGCTCAGCGACCAGCAGTGGGAGACTTGTAATTATTCTGAGTGGCTTCAAACCTGAAGAAGAAGAAGAAGTGTCTGAAAGTGGAGCAGTGTGTTGCTGGAGAGCACGTTAATCCTGAGCAAAATGTTTCAGGGATTAAAACGCTCCGTCCTCCTCTGTGACCACACGGCCTGAAAGTTAAACAGACTGCCGTTCAACAGGAGGCCACGAGTTCGAGTCCTTGAGGCAGCAGGTTGTGCTCCGACCTTCCTACAGGGATCAAAAGAGTAAAAGCTGAAGGAGCAGCGACTCCTGGTTACATTTGGGTTAGTGCAGCATTGAGGGCCGACTGAGCTGTGTGAGAGTTTGTTGTTTAACTGAAAGGTCAGTAAATGCTCACTGAGAGCAGGTGTAGTGTTGAGCTGTGTGACCTGTTGTTGACACCCAGCGTATTTACATAAAGTCTCGTCAGGCTGCAGCGTTAACTTTAACTTGGAGTGGACCAAATCTACCGCTTTATTTCACCAGCGTTTGTCTGGTGGCTGCTTTATGTCCAGAATCTGATATTTTAATTAGAAACAAATGCTGTTCTCCTGAAGATTATCCCACCACACATACAGATCCAACACTTCAGTGAGCACCAACTAAATCCAGCTTTTGTCTGATTATTCAGTATCCCAGTTTTAAATTACCGTGTATATAAGTCATGTAAACCTGCGTTAGTGGGGGAGTCGTGTTGTGAGCAATGTAAATGTCTGAAGTGCAGTGATTAGTTTTTATGTGTGCATACAGCGAGGGGAGGAAGTGAAGCTTAGCTGCAAACAGCACACAATTAAATTACAAGACACTTCATTGTGTGTGGGGAATACAAGTTCAGTGGAACGACAAAGACTGTGTGTGAGCCTCGTTGCTAAATATTGTGAGATCAGCTCGAACGGTGACCCAAAAAGATTTCAGAATAGTTCCTGTTTTGTTCGTGATTAGTCTGCCTCCACCTTTCCTTCTTCTTGACTCTAAATAAAGTCGTCTTTTATCTTCGTTTGATGGAAAGACGTCCAGAGGTTGAGAGAAACGGTTTGTCAGTAATGTAATCAGACTCTCTGAATGTAGAAATAAATGTTAACATTAAAGGGCATTGAAACCTTTGTATAATTAACATTAACACGTGTTCAGGTCGGCAGTCTCATCACATCGCTAACACACTCAAACCAGCAGTGCTGCAGGTTAATGCAAGTTAAATGTTATACATTAAATGGACAAAGGGGATTTATATATGAGAAACAACTTTCTGACTTTATGATTCTCCTCAGTAGCGGTGGGTACAAACCGGCCCGCTGTCTTTCAAAGTCTTCTCTCTGCTGTGATCCTCCAAACAGAGAAAACCACCTGCTGTGTTTGCTGCAAGAAAGTCAGGAAACAAAACGAGAAAAAAAAGCTGATAAGTTTCAGTTTAATGCCTCCTGTTTATTTCTGATTCGACGCTGCTTTACGTTTTAGTTACTGGCCACTTTGAACTGGATGAACCTGAAGTCATTGGATAGCCTCGTCTTAATTTCACGAGCCGTCTCTGAAGCTGTGACAGATCAGCACGTTCTCCTGTTTATTTAAGGCTCGGTCAGCCGCCTGGCCTCTAAAGTTAAAGTTTATGAATGTTTCAGCTCCGGCAGGGTCCGACATGTTTGTATAAATCTGCCGGTAGATGTGAGTGACCCCTCTGTTTGTTTTATTCCACCAGCGTCAGGTCGTTTTACAGCGTTTATTTCCTTAAAATAGTTTGTGAACATTCTCGGCGTTCCTCCTGTTAGCCACAGGGAACGAGCGGCGTGACGACCTCCACGGTAAGTAACAAAGAAAAACGATCCGCTAAACTTCAAAATGCCGAGGTGTTTATTTAAATACAATCATTAAAAAGAGCATCGATGTACCTTTTAATTCTCCTGCTGCTCCTTTAAGCCTTTTTTTACTTTCAAAGCATTTTCTCCTTTGATCCCACAAACAGCGAGTCCAACCCCACCGCGTTCACTCTCCCACTCCCCACATCCACAGGAGAGGAGAGTCGGAAAACACAGCTTCCTTTTTAAAGACGGATCTGACTGAGTTCAAAGAAAAAAGTTCTCTGGAAAGGAAAAGAAAGAGAGAATTGGCACAAAAAAAAACGATGTAACACTGTGCAAAAAAAATAAAGGAGGGTTTCTTATTTCCTTCAATGGGAAATGAAAACTACAGAATCAAAAGAGGGCAGGTAGAAAAGATTAGATAAAATGAAAGGTGTTTTAAGACGGGGAGGTGTGTGTGTGTGTGTGTGTGATATTTACATTTTAAACTGATGCTCTCACCCAGAGTGATGTGCAATGAGTGCAACATGAGAGTGCACTCCAATTCCTCAATCTGTAATAATACCTCAACGCTCGAATGACTCTGTCAGATGCAGAAGAGCTGGAAGAGAAAGTCCAGAAGCAAGAGAGGATTTAGCATGTGGAAGCTGGTAGAGGCAGCGACGAGTTTACGAGTTTACGAGTGTACGAGTACGTTTATCCTGATGGGATGTAGCTCTAAGGTTATGAGTGACTGGTGCAGTCTTTAAAGGGGATTGGGAGGTAATTACTACAGTGCTGAGGAAACGTGAGAGATAAGAGTGGAGAGGTGAATCTGTTGCAGCAGGGAGGGAAAAGCAAAACATTTCGTGGGAGGAAGACCAACATGATTAAGGAAAAGTGAAGGTGAAGGTGAAGAAAAATCAAAGTGACTGAGTGTAGTGTGTGTGTGTGTGTGTGTTTGTTTACGAGCGTTTAAATCTGAGCGCTGATGTGTTCCTACCATCGAATCTGAAATCTTCCCTTCCCGCCTCCGCAGAGCCCTCCAACAAGGACAAGGCGAAAGAGAGAGACAGAGAGGAGAGGGAGAAGAAGGTCAAAGACGGAGAGAGAGAAAAGGAGAAGAAGAAGCACAAAGTGATCAACGAGATCAAGAGGGAGAACGGAGAAGTCAAGCAGCCGATTAAAGGTTGGTGGAAACGCACACGCATGCAAACCAAGTGATTTATGTAGGGATTAAAGTTTTTTTTTATCCAGTGAGCGGGTTTGGTCCATGAAGTAGTCATAAAAAGCCCAGATTTTTCCAGAGCCTGTGGTGATGTCTCAAAATAGCTTTTTATGTCCAACCAACAGTCCAAAAACCAAGAAGTATTCAACTTAAAATGAAGTGTACAAAGAAAAACAGCTCGTGCTTACGTTTGGAAAGTCGGAGCCGGTGAATAAAACAGCATGACACAACAATTCCCAACACAAGGTCCGCTCTCGAACACATCACGTGGAGTTGCTCCTTCATTATGGAGACTGTTTAGTTGTTATCATGTGACCAGGAGTAAGTATGGAGGTTATAGAAACGACTGCGTGTGTGTGTGTGTCGTCAATTGACTCATCATTAAAGATTAAAGAACCAGTGTGGAGGATTTAGTGGCAGATTGCAACCAGCTGAATAACCGCT